ATCAACATAATGGAATAATAATGGGAAGAAAAAATGTAAAGTGTAGGAATAATAAATAATGCAACTTAAATGGGTTATCCCCTTAACTTATGTCAATTTATGATGCCAATTTCAAACAAAATGAAAGCAAAATAGCAAATTCAGTGTCTTGAGGCTTGCTAAATTCTCATTCTTGTTCATTATTTTTAATAATAAAATATCAGAATAGATGAAAATAGGTCAAAATGATCAGAATGAGATAATATAGCTACGAACTAAACATTTTTTTCCAAAACGATTTTTTGTGGCAATAATGAAGAAAAATTTTGAACCTATTTACCTGGAAATTTCATTTTTATTCATTTTTCATCAACCAAAATTATAACATATGTATACCTACAATACTCATTAGCATATAACATGCAAGACCCACACCAACAAAACACAAATCACCATGTGGGCTTCACATCAACAAACACTGAAACACAGAACATAAAAAAGAAATAAGGACAAGAAAGTAAATATAAAAGGAAGATCACTTATTTAGAACTAATTAAAAGGAAATTAGTTTGTTGAATTGAGTAGGTAGTTGTGCAAATGAAGATAAGAGCTTAAAACTTGAAAATGGTAATCAAATTTAAAGTATAAAATTAAAAATAATGTCAATAACAAGAAGGAAATATAAAATGCCCAACAATTTCATCAGTGACCATAGCATATTAAATGCAAATAATATATTAAGAAAGTCATAAAATTTCATCATTCTTGTCCATTCTTGCCCAACATTAATAAGAATTGAAACAACGAGGCCTACAGTAGTGAACCAAACATAGCCATAGCTTCTTAGGGAACTTATTTTACAACCAATGATCTGGACAATGATATAGGCTTTTTAGGTCTTTTGAGAAATGCTACCCTTTACCTGCACTTTCATTAGATCCATGGCAAGTGCTTTATTACATGTGTGGTCTAATGCGTGTTTGTATTTGCATATGTTGATGTTTGATAGGACACTTGCCACAAACTGAACCTAAGCACTCAATCCTCACATTCCATCTCACCATGCATTAAAAACACCTCCCCATAAAAAGATAATATACAATAGTATGGAAGATATTCCCAATGTGACTGGAACGTGCCGTGAGGTTGGTATGAAGAACATTCTCTGAGGAGCACTCGGGATTTTCTATTCACTTTTCCTACCCACTTTCTATCCGCCGTGAATTGGAGCCACATATATCTATTATGAATTAAGAGATGTGTGCCAGTAAATCACAATAAATAGAGAATGGGTAGAAAAAGTGAGTAGGACATCTAGTCTCTGGAGCAGTTCCAGGACTCTGTTAGGGACCTTATAGCCAAATGTACCACCCCCACCTTAGGCGTGAAATGTACATGCCCCACAACCATTCAATCTCACTTTATATTCATAGCTGTCCTAATAGGTTATCATTCGTTACAAGGCCATCACATTTAGCTAATATGGACTTTTAGAACTTGACATTTTTTTTTTTTTTGTGTGTGGTTAAGGATCATAATTCATTACTACCGAACAATATTTGGCAAATTGTTTCCTAAAATGCCAAACTAACTAGGGACCACGGTTAGCTAAATATCTTTAGTTCTTTACCATCTAGTGCTGCATGTTCGTTTGGCCTCATGTCTAACGACAGATTCAAAATTTCAGTCTCTCTGCCATGCCACTCAGCATCAATTAGAGTTAATATATAATTATATAAATGTCCTTAATAGTTGAGATTTATCTTGTTTAAATAATCATATGTTTAAAGGGGCTGAAGTGGACAGCCCTTCAGAATTTAGGGTCTATTTGGTTTATAGCTGAAATCAGAATTAAAGTTTTTTGGAATCGGATCGGGCAGCATCACTTTCCATAATCTGTTTGGTTTAGACATGAATAGGAATGAGAATTGGAATAAGCAAGAATGAGATTTTATTCCTAAAGGTAGGGAATGACCATTCCCTCATATTGGAAAATGCTATTCCAACAGGAATGGAATGAGATTCCGATTCCACCCAACTAAACAATTAGAATTAGAATAATCCTTTCCGATTCCAATTCCAGACCCCTATTCCTATGAATCAAACGGGGCCTCAGATGACTGACTGACAAACCCTCCCAAATGATTCAAACCCACCTTAGAACTACTTAAAAGGCAGCCACTATGCTTCAAACCCTCCCAAATGATCACCAAATAACAGATTGAATTTGGCTTAACATGCTCATTAAGCTCAACATACCACCTAAAACTTGACTAGAATGAAAACTAATTCAGATTAACTGAATGAAAATTAATACGATGGCTGTTCAGCAGGCTGTAGCACTAATTCAGATTAACTGAATGAAAATTTATAGGCTACATTAGGAAAGGTGTCGGTCAAATATATTTTATCATTGGCATGAAATATTATCATTAATTCTACAGCCCCCTGAACAACTATCTCGTTCAACTAATTGTTGCTCCCACATAAGAGATTCAAGCACTCATAAGTCGTAAGAACATTGTTTGTCCCATCATCGTGATCATCTCTCTGTAGGACAATCTGAAGGACACGCAGGTTCGGTTGGGTTCGCCCGGGCAATTTCCTTTACTTCTACCTTTTCTCGTTTGTGGGTGTGGTGGGGTGGTACCTTTCCCAGGACGAGCATAGAAAAGAAGGAAAATCATTCTGTTCCCTTGTATCCCCTCTCCCCACATGTGGTGGGGTGGAAGCACTTAGCACTTTGGTCGTTGGTCTCTCCTTTTCTTCGTCCGATCCATCCCTTGATATAAAGACAGCTGCTTTCCTCCTTTTGTTCTTGATAGTATTGTATTGCATGTTCTCACCACCTTTCATTCTGGAGTGGACCGGTTCTGGAGATTTCACCCACCGGCTGGGTCCAGTGACTTTCATTAACGCTCTTTGTTAGGACCCCAATTCACCCCAGATTTCTCTTTCTAGTTTTAAGTTCAATAGTCGGTTATGATCATTGGATAATATGGACTACGGATGTGGGTCGGGTTAAATGATAAACCTAGATTGGTCCAATTTATAGGGTCGAGTTTGGGCCAAGTATAATCAGTTTTAGAGTTGCGTCAGGGTTTTGATACATTGATCCAAATCAGAGTCAGGTTCAGGTTTTGGCTGGCTTGTCCAATGGATCATGATATCGAATCAGGATATCTTGATCTGACACTGCATATCTTACTATAAAATTGAGACCTATTATAAAAGTGGGACCTAGCATATATGAGATGTGCGATATCAAGGGGGTGTTCTTTTCTGGACTTTGAGAGGGGAAATTCCCATGTTCTTTTTTCGGATTTATATAGGGACCAGAGAAAGTTTTTTTTCTTGGGTATCCTAGGTGGATAAACAACTTTTTCCACCTTGGGGAAAAGTTGTCAACACTTTAAAAAGGGACAAAAATGCCCTTTTAATAATGGATTTGTATGGATAAAATGAGCATTGCCTAATTTACATGAAAAATAAAAGAACATGGGTAAATGGACTTATTCGGGTAAATCTTTATTGAGAAACAATTACCTAAGTAAATGCATTTATTTGGATAAATAACCTACCAAAATGTGAACAGGGACCAAATCATATTGATAAAGTATTGGAATGTATCTCAACAGATGATCCAAGCTCTTATGATATCCTTGCATATATACAAAATATTATTATAATTTTATAATACCTTTTTAGTAATTATAATTTTTACTAATAAAAATACTTTTTTAATAATCTTAAAAAATATTTTTAAGATTGAGGCAAACTCATATCAAACCCGACCCATTGACACCCTAATCTGGCCCGACCAATCAATCGCTTAAATCGTAGGTGGATACATATAAGATCAAACTAATATAGCAACAGTGGCTGCACTAGTAATTGTCGGAATCCTTTTACAGCTGGAAGACTACTTTCCCACTTTGATTCTTGCTGGCTAGCCTATATTATGTACCATCTCTTAGGCTTAGATCGTTTGTTCAATTCCAGAACCTGGACCCGGACTCGGACCTTGTCGAGTTGCATAATTGCACTAGAGGGCCTCCATCCAACTTCCTTCTTTGAATAAGAACCGAAGGAGGAGAAAAGAAGAAATGAATCCAAATGTTCTGAGTCAGATTTTTGGGGCGAGTGGGCGACCGACGGAACGAAGCCAGTGATGACGTGGAAAGAACATACAATTATTTGTCTGTTAGTTACTGTCTTGTTTTCCACGTGGATGATGACATGGACATGTCTACCGTCTACGTAAGCCAAAGTCAGATACCGGTTTGTCGCATCCGACGTGATCGACTGACCGAGGCCTCGTAAAATTAAATTAAATAAAAATAGTTTTAATAATGAGTTGTACTTATTTATTCTAATTTCTAAACAAAAGAATCCGTCAGCGTACGGCTTGATACACCTCGATAATCTCTTCTTTTCACTGCTATGCTCAGTTGCTCTCTCTCTCTCTCGAACTTGGTAGGCGGCTCAATTCATTCGAAAATTTCTTCACATTAATTAATTAAGACTTAAAAATCCGTTAACGTTAAGCATTTTTAGCGCTGCCTAATACTCTAATAGAGGCCAAGCTAAGCCTAGCCCAGCCCAAACAACTATATAAATAGGTTGGTCCCTCGTCAATGATGAAGCCCAAACAAGTGGACAATATGCGATTATCGATCATGCCACGTGTAAAGTTTAGAAACTTCAACAACATTAGCAGTGGACTCAAATTGTGAAAATTTAGTTTAGGCCCAAGCCCACACCCAGACTAGAGCATCCTCTATGTACCATACTTTATGCTTCTGAGACAAACGCGTACCCAACAACCACGTACACTTTAACGTGACTGGCTTTGCCTTGTTCATCATTATTTCCTGTTTATCGAGATGCGCAAAACTTTGCATCAAAATGACTTCGTTCTAGGCCCAAGCCCAAACGAAGTTGGGCTTCGAAGTTTTTGAAAAGTTTCAAAAAAATCCAATTCACTTCACCCATTTAGAGTGACAGACTCTCCAGTCTCCACTGACCAACTAAGGACGACCTTACTCATGTTTTCCCTCGACACTCGACAGCCTACCCACACCCGACCGCCTTCTTCGGCAGGCTTCGCTCCCGCTCTGCGCCCGGACCCACCTCTTCTCACGACTCATCACGATTCCCGCTCCGCCATTCGTTTTTAGATCTTTACCCAGTAGATGTTGATGATGATGATGACGATCGAAATTTTGTTGATTTAATTATAACAACATATTGGTATTTAATTAAGCACTATATATATTTATTTAAGTTCTCTTCTTCCGCAGGTTCTATACACTTGAATTGAAAGCTAGCGGAAGAACGAGTACGGCGATGGCGAAACATTTGAAGCTTCGAATTTCCCGATTCTTTCCGACCTTCCACTCCTGCCGTTCCAAAGACCCTTCCACCCTGCCGGAGAATCCGCATCCTGTGGCTTCCGGACTCTCTCCGGTGAACCCCAAGGCCATCGACATCGATTTCCCAGCGAATGCAGCTTGCCCGCACTTTCCACCACCGCTGACCGTCAGGAATCATTATTCTTTTCTGAAGCGCCACGTGTCGTGCGCAATGGCATCCGTCACCTGTGGCTGCCGTCCGATATCCGGCGGTAGTGGCGGACAGCATGGAAAATCCTCCGGTGACATGCCACAGTACAAATGGAAGAAGGAAGATAAGTGGCATGTTGTTGCGAGAGTGAACGAAGAGAGTCCTCGTCGTAAAATTTACAACTCGTCGCTACCCGGAGACTCCGAGGAACATCGACCACCAATGACGGAAGTGAAGATGACGATAAAGAAGAAGAAACAAACGAGTAAGAAATCGAAGCCCAGGGTTCGTATCAGTACGTCCTCCACCGATAGCGGCTGGTTCAGCAGCGATGGAGGCGAAGAGGTTGACGATGAAGAAACCGAAACCCTAGTTTGTTCTTCTAGAAGTTTATCCACGGATTCTTTTTCAGACTTCAACCCACGTCTGGAAACAATACGCGAATCACCCAGCGTTATGAAAGGTTTAAGGGGTCATAAGAAGAACAAGCAGAAGAACGTGAAAAAGTTGAAACGCCAGGTTTCCAGGAGTAACGGAGGATTTGCATCTGGAAAGACGACGACAGAGTGTGGTTCACCGGAAACAGAAGTGGCGAGATTGTCGGTGTTCCGGAGAATGATACCGTGTGTTATGGATGGGAAAGTGAGGGAGAGTTTTGCGGTGGTGAAGAAGTCGGAGGACCCCTACCAGGATTTCAAGAATTCAATGCTGGAAATGATAGTAGAGAAACATATGTTCGAAGCGAAGGATTTGGAGCAGCTGTTGCAGTGTTTCTTATCTCTGAACTCGCGACAACACCACGATGTCATCGTCGATGCCTTCTCTGAGATCTGGGAGTCTTTGTTCTGTAAATCCCCGATGACCAGATACTCAACTAGTTCCTTCCACTAGCCACTAGCTCGTTCAAATTCGTACGACCAAATATTCTGATATGTCTTTCTGGTTTTTCTATATTATAATTATAATTATATATAGTTCATGCATTTTTTTTTTAACTCACCTTCTTCTTCTTCTTCTTCCGCTCATTTCGCAAACCGAGTTTACTCGGAAATCTCCGGTCCAAGCGGAACTTGAAGCCCTGACTCCTGGCCCCTGGCCCCTGGGAGATGCAAAATAGAAAATGGAGTGGCATGTCGAGATATATAGTAACACCGTCGTGGGTATGTTTGGTATTTTGATGGTCCATCCGATCGAGGGAGAGATCGGACGGTCTCCGATGGCTGAAAGACTAGAAATTATCCGCAACATACGGGATCATGTTTGCACTTTGCAGGGAGAAGATCGAAGGGGAATGTGCAGTTGAAACTTGAACGACTGATCTGAGGGAGTATGGAGCACGCTAAACCTATTGTTTACGAATTAGGATTACCCGTCCAGAATTGTTGGATTAGAATCTTTTTATCAAAGATTCCGATCCAATAGCTGCTCCGTTGTTATTAACGCACAGCGCGACGAAGAGGGGAATAACATATAGTCAAATAAAAAGCCCACGTGTTTTGAAATTTGAACATTCACCGTTTAATGCGCGTTGTGTTGGCATTCTCGTGAAATCATTCCGACCGTTAACGGCGGGGCAAACTTTTACCCGCCAATTACGAATTACATGTACCGCAGCCATCAAATTCAGCTTATCCAAGAGCTCCACCGTGCAATCAGTACTTCAGAATTCAGATGGCCATCAATCCACCCCTTCGAAATTAATCATGCCTCTCAATTACTTTTTACCATCTGATTTTCAGATTTTACAAAGAAATCGGTTCCCAGCATGTCGCGTGCCCATTGCTTTTGAGATGATAACTTTAAACTACTATTTCTACCTATAAAATCATCAGGAATTTGAACATGCTCTCCACAAAACGCTTCTCACACCAAGAACATTTCCGATGATGACATTATCGGTTATGATACTATTATCGGGAAATGTTTTCAATACACAGCGGGGATGTTCTGTGGAGCGTTGTGGGGCAGCGCCTTGTAGGGTATAAATCAGGAACATCTGATGCGGCTAACTTGTATGTTTGTTGAATTGTTGGGTGAGAAAAAAAAAATAAAAAAATCAAACTGATCGAAACTGAATCAAATATTCAGTTAACCAAATCGGCTACTTCAATTTCAGTTCAGTATTTAAAAAAAAGTTGGAGGTATCGGTTAACCAAAATAAAAAATTGGTAGTTAATCGAACCAACCGGTATATATATATATTATTTTATATTTTCTATACAATATAAATTAATAAATATGTATTATATATATTTATAGTATTTTTTATATATTTATATATTTATATATTTTTTTATAATAAATATTGTAAATAATAAAAAACCAAAAAATCGACTGTTAACTGAACTGATCAATTGGTTAATCGATCGGCTTTAGTTACCGGTTTTCCAAAAACCAATAACCCTAGTTCGATTTCAAAAATTATCCCAGATTGATGTGAGGAACAAATTTGAATCCATTTATTTAAGGGTTAATTACTTATATATAGCCTATATATTTATGAAATTATTAATATGTACCCTTAACTTTCAAAACTTACTTATATACCTTATACCATAGTCCCATGTGACACAAATAAGCCATGTGTCAAGGAAACATTCATGACTATTTCACATATCTATTAGGGGTGCTCACAGTGCAATTAATTGAACTGGGAGGCTTTTTTTGAAACTGAATTGGTATTATTAGTTTTTAGAAAATCGGTAACCGAAACCGAATTGAAGCTAGTCGATTAACAGGTTGACCAGTTTGGTTAACCATCAATTCGGTTTGTTGGTTTTTCGATTTTTTAATTTTCATAATATATTATAAATATATATATATACATAATACAAATTATAAATAAATAAAATATTATATTTTAAATAATAAATCATATATCATATATTATAAATATATATTTATATATAATATACATAAATATATATATATATAAAATATATAAAAATATGTATATCGATTGGTTCAATTAACTGTCGGTTTTCTACATTGGTTAACCAAAACCAAATCGGTGTATCTTCAATTTTTTAAAAACAATTAACCGAAATCGAATCGATTGATTCAGTTAACCGATTTTTTAGTTTGGTTTTGATCGTTTCGGTTTTTTGGTTTTTTTTTACTTACCCTAAAGCCTATTAGATTTTATTTTTTTAAAATCCCAGATGTACTCTTTTCTCTTGTCGGTACATCTGGGATAGAAGTGCTCCGTGAACCTGACCACAAAGGTGTGGAGTGCTCCATGAGAAACCAAATGAGAACATTGAAGTGACGGGCTGTAATAGGTTTGGCTTTAGATTTGGCTGTAACGGAGTGAGATGAAGACCTCACAAGTAGATGACGATCGATGATTGCAACTTAGGTATAGAAACAGGAGCCACCCTTGCATCAGATCAGTCAACTAGAAGACCTCCCTTCCTTTTGAAAAATGAAATACCCAGATCCGGATTAAAGATGTATAGAAAAAGAGAAAGGAATTTTCAGATGTTCGAAACACCCACTTCCGTATGGAATGCGTAATAAATTAGTAATTGTGAAAAACGAACGGAGAGATCAAACCTGGAAGAGATTTGAGGGAGGGAAACTGAACTCCTTAGGCTGCATTTGGATGTGATTTAAATCAAGATTTTACATCGGTTCGGTGTATGTCTTTAAAAAAAGGGTGTAATTATTATCGAGTTTATACTCCGGTTTAGTTTTGTATACGTTTAATGGAGTGTAGTTTTATATCGATAATCAATGTAAAACCTCATCAATTTGATAGTTTTACATCGATTACATCGATTTTATTGACATAAAACTTTACACTCTTCAACCCATAACTATTTTCAAAAAAGCAACGGTCACTTTCTGATTTAGTGTAAAACGTCACACGTTTTACTACGTTTGGTGTTAAAATACATTGATGACGTTTTACACTGAACCAGAAAGTGACCATTGTTTTTTTGAAAATAGTGATGGGTGGAAGAGTGTAAAGTTTTACATCGATAAAATCGATATAGTTTTTACATCGATTGTCGACGTAAAACTTTAGAGTTGATGAGGTATTACATCAATTATCGACGTAAAACTACACTCCATTTAAACGCACGCAAAACTGAACTGGAATGTAGTTTTATGTTGATAATAATTACACTCTCTTTCCAAACGTATACAAAACCGGACTGATATAAAATTTACATCGGTTCTTGATTTACATCGCATCCAAATGCAGCCTTAGGAACAAAATCAAAGGATGATGACAGAACTAAGGTAACTGCTATACTCTTCAAAATCATTACCATTTTAGTAACTAGGAAGAGAAGGGATGATTCGAGGTCTTGTATAAAACAAATGGAAGGAGCAAAGAGACCGAGGAGGGAAGAACCAAGGTGTTGCTGGCCTCCACTCTCGGCTCTCTTGGTCTTGGGTGTTTCTTGCTTGGCTGTTGACCAAAATTATGTGAGCATCCATTACTCTTATGAAAATACCACCGTGAAAAGAAGAAGAAGAAAAGGTATATTTTGAAAATTTAATAAACAATTAAGGACATTTTTATCCTTTGCAACTTTTCTATTAGACTTAACCTTTGAAAGGTCAACAATCTATATATAAGTAGGTTTTAAAAGTTTAGGATATATTTAAGTATTTTCCTAATATACATGGTATATATAAGTAATTAGTAGGAATAAGAGTGTGAAACTTTTGTTTAACTAAAATATACCCTAATTTTTTAATTTAGTCCATCTCTAACTATAAGGATAGACATATAATTTGAGCGAAGGTTCAAAATATCGATATGCCCGGTACATCGATCGAGGCGTATCAAGCAGTATCGGTGTTTTTTTTTTTCCAAATCTAGTTCAGAGGGACCGGTTTAAGGTCCGTCCATCCCCTAAACCAGTCAAAAGCTCGATACACCCTCTATAAGGGCATATCAGAAAGCTTCCGATACGTGTCAATTTTTTGAACCTTGATTTGAGCAACCTCTTGTCTCCTTATTCAAATCCCTCTCATTAAGTTTTATATTTAATGCAATAACTCCTATTAACATTCATTAAATCATATTTCTAACTAGAATACCCTTATTTTTTAATGTGGTCTCTCTATAATTATGAGGCACAAAATGTAATTTGAACTATTAAATTTCTCCTCATTCAGTTCCGTTCATTAAGTTTTATATTTAGGGTATTAATTCTTATTCTTTCATTAGTCCTATATTAACTAATAATGTTAAAGAATAATATATGTAACAAAGAATAATTATTTTTATTGAACAAAATACAAACTTAAAACCAACCAAAAAATGGAGTTGTTTTCCTATTTGGTGACCGATCAACAATTCAACCTTTTGTATAAAAATGTATCCACCCTTGATGTCATTGTTAATGATAATAAAAATTTAAAAAGATGAAAATACATAAACTTCATAAGAAACATTTGGGCATATTTCTAATGTCTGCATATTCATCATTTTAAACAAAAAAAGTGTGAAAAATAAGAATAATTTTTATAGATATAAAAATATAAAAAAGATTATAGAAAATTTTAGAAACATGTTGTTCACTATCATCACCATAAAAGTTGCTACATGCAAAAAGCATGCATGATAAATTTGTATTTTTTTTACTCACAGGATTATACAACCGGATAACCCATCTCCCAAACCCATAAACCCCCAACCCTGGTACAGGTGTGATTCAATCCCATATTTCTACTGCAACCAACAGAAACGCTTACCAAATAGCCAATTAACACATAATTTCTCATAAATTTGTATTGATAAACTCAAAATACAATGGTAGTGCAAGGCCTCTCACTATACCTATGGCTGCAATTTGGGATGGGTTAACCCGAACCCAACCCGAAAATGTCGGGTTGGGTTGGGTCGGTTCGGATTGATGCTCAGGTTAGTATTAGGGTTGATATTTATGAACTGAACTTTACCTCAAGTTGGGTTAGGGTTAATCCCTTGGGCAGTCCAACCCAACCAAAAC